AATAGAAGAGGCCTTTTTGTATTGCAATTCAGTTTTTTCCCCTTAAGGAAGCACAAAATCTTTTCTTGTAAAGCAGAGGAATTTTCCCACCACCATCCTTCTAAGTTGTCCTTTTATACATAAATTTCATGAATACAAAAAAAATATTAATGTTTGAATCATAAATATCAGGGATTATTCTCTCTCTCTCTCTCACTGTATGAAAGTTTTCTTAAATTAAATTTATCAATGATATACTTTTATTCACAATACATGTATAATATCTGTTAGAGGTTTTCAGTATATTGCTTTGAATGTATTTACATGTAAATAGCCTTGATTTACGTTAGATGGTGTACTTTTAGAAACCTTTGACAAGACAGACATAGGATCTGTAAGTACCCTTACCAATTTGTGTAAACTGTTTTTACCAGGATTTGAAGTAAAAACAGTGCAAAATTTGTATGAACAATGCAGCCGAAATATTACCAGATCGTATTGGTTTTAGTCATCTTTTCACAATATTTGGCAGTTTGTGTTAGAAAGGTCATTTGCAGACTAGGAATCAACCTGCATCACTCCTATTTTCTATTAAACATCTATTGTTAAGGGAAAACTAATTTTGATTAAGTGGTAAAACAATGTCGATTGCATTTAAAACTTGAGGTTTAATTAATTCTTTCTTTGTGCGGTTTTGAACTCATTTGCAGGACCACAAATCATCGGGTAATGAAAAACCAAGACACATTGACATTATCGTTGTGTATAGTGAAAGACTGATGGTGAGGAATTCCAAGAGAACTTCCATTTAGAAACATTGCAAGGACTTGCAATGAAATAAAAGAGGCCTTTTTGTGTTGAAATTTTCAGATTTTTTTCTTCAAGGGAGCACAAGATCTCTTTTTGTATATCGGAGGAATTCCCACCACCACCCTTCAAAGTTGTATTGTTATACAAATTTTGCCTTCGCCTCAGCAAAAGGTTCTGAAATTTGCATAATTGAAGTCACCTCTTACAAAAGTGCCTGTGAGGTAACTCTACTTAATATGTCCCTTTGACTTCCACGCATACAGAATTGGTCGCAATCCTTATCATATTTAATGTCATTTTAAACTCAGTTAACCCTGTGCTAATAAATGACCGTTGTCTTATTTCCATTCAAATTGTGTCAAATTGTGTCAAAAATTCAATGAAGTTTTGTATCAACGACTATAATTCTTAGAAGAATTTTGATAGGCCATCAGCTTCTTTAGATTTCTTTAGATTCCTGCCCCGTGGGGATCCGGGTTAGAATAGGTCCTCAGTACCCCTTGCTTGTCGTAAAAGGCGACTAAATGAGGCGGTCCTTCGGATGAGACCGTATAAACCGAGGCCCCGTGTTACAGCAGGTGTGGCACGATAAAGATCCCTCCCTGCTCAAAGGCCATACGTGCCGAGCATAGGCTTAAATTTGCAGCCCTTCACCGGCAATGGTGACTCTCCATATCAGTGAAATATTCTGGAGAGGGACGTTAAACGGTATTAATAAATTTAAAATCAATCTTTAGATTTCTTGAACGGGTAACCAGCTGAGAGTTAACAATGAATAGCGGAGTGCTATGCAATGCAAAATTCAAATAATAATTGATTGATTGTATTGTTTAACGTCCCTCTCCAGAATTTTTCACTGATATGGAAACGTCACCATTGCCGGTGAAGGGCTCAATTTAGGCCTATCTGGCACTTACCCTTTTGAGCGGGAGGATTTTATCGTGCCACACTTGAACACGGGGCCTCGGTTTATACGGTCTCATCCGAAGGACCGCACCATTTAGTCGCCTTTTACGACAAGCAAGGGGGTACTGAGGACCTATTCAAACCCCGGGGATCCCCAAGGAGCTCAAATAATAGGTCAGTGATCTACTTTTGCGTCAATATACGAAAATGTTTCAACTGACAATATTTGATGATCTTAGTCCTTATAGTAAGCTAAAAAATCAACATTTTACATAAACCGTAATTTTTGGTCAAGTGCTCTTGAGCCCATGCCCTTTGCTTCGGGGTGATCCTTTGAACAGTTTTTCATCTTTAACTTAATTATCCTCATCCATCAAACTTTGCAAGTATGGTTATAATCTGTCCAATGTTTTTTGAGAAGAAGACTTTTTAGTGCTCACATTTCTAGTTTCAGTATACCAGTAAACGGAAGTCTTTGGGCTAAGAATACCCTGTGAAAAAAATTGACAAAAATGGCCAAGGGATTTTCAAATTGGCCCATATGCTAAACAGTTAACAATCAATGTACAATTGTCCATAGCATTGGTTCAATGAGCCTTTCAGTCAAGAGGTAATAAGAGGCCCATGGGCCACAACGCTTGCCTGATTCACTTGGTCCTGCTTGTTCTTCAACAAATCATGTCTTGTAATACCTACATGTATTGTGGTCCCACCCTACCACAGGGGGTTATGATTTGAACAGTTTAGAATCTACACTACTCCAGGATGCTTCCCCAGTTGATTTTGAGAAGATTTTTAACAATATATTTCAAAGTCAAATTGGATTCCTAATTGTGGCCTTGGGGGTTGTGATTCGAACAATTTTTTAATCTACCTTACACCAGAATGCTTTCATTTAATTACCATTTCTGGCCGTTTTGTTTATGAGGAGAAGATTTGTAAAGAATTAAAATTCCCCTTCCTCCAAGAGTGCTTTGTACCAGCTTTGGTTTAAATTGGCCCATTGGTTCTTGGGAAGAAGTTAACAATGTGAAAAGTTTACAGGCTGACGGACAACAAGTTGCTAGTATCTGAAAAGCTCATGTGAACTTAATCTCATGAAATATTAATTCCCTTTTCAATCAAGAAATTTTTTTCGGGAAAAAAGAGAAAAAACTGAAACCCCATGACATTGCACTTCAATAGGACACGACTAAACATTTACAAAAAATAAAATGGTTACTGTGCGAGTTGAAATAGGAGTGGCTGGAACTTTTTTGCAAGAAAAACATCCTTTTTTCAACCCTTAAATTCGACTCCCAGATGAAAAAAAAAATGAAAAAAATATAAACAGTGAAACTTTTTACGAGAATAAATGCTTCAGTTGAAGCCAGGTACCGTATTTGTTTTTCAACCTAAACCCACCATCAATTTGGCCCTTGAGTCCACGAACCACTATCAATCACATTCGAGAACATGATTTGCATGGCTTCTGGGTAATATGCTACAGTTCCTCAAAATAGGCTTTCGTATAGGCTAAAACTGATAACCATCGTCAATCAGCCTTAAAGGTGAGAAAGAAAACACCACAACTTCTTGCACATTTACATTACAGACAGACAGACCAGAATAAAAATTTACCCAATCTCTATTTAGGAGATGCAAACCTTTTTTCTACAAAACTATAGTCCACAAAAGTTTTGGGGGAGTGGGGCTAAAATGGTTAAATCACTGCAAAAGATACAACAATTTTAGAGATACGTTGTGGTTGGATTACTATGGACAAAATAAAATGAAGATTCTCAACTCTTTGTTTTAGTATATTGAATATAGCTTACTGCTATGGGGGTATTTTTTAAAACTATATCTATAGTTTCTTTTATGTAATACATGTACATGTACTTAGCATTTACGCAGCAATTGCCAGCTTTTTCATGCCTGTATCTACTTCAACACAACATTTTGTATTTTGGACTGCTAACTTAAGCTTGAAATGGAACTTGACAAACTCTACTCCCCCTTTTGTAGAAAATGTTCATATATACAGAAACAGTCAAGTTCAATGCATGTCTCAAGCCACGGTCCGGAGTCCGCATATAGCTCTCTCCAGAATGGGAGAGGATCTTACAGTATGGCCGTGATTTGCGACGATGAGTTCAATAAAGAGATGGTCAATCTTCCTAAGGCTATTTTGCTGAGTTAGGTGAAAAATTTTACTGTACGAGGGTTGTCCGTAAAGTTCGTGGACAACATTGATAATTACTGGCAAACATTGACAAAATATATGAAACTATTATTTTCATTAAGCTTCATGTTTCATTTTATAAATATCCAAGTTTTCAACAAAAACACAGCACAAATAGTTTTTTTTTTATCAGATACAAAAAAGACACATATTTCCCGGAGCACTAAAACGAAAACTCTTGTCGTTACCCGACGCAAAAGCTAAATACGCAACTTAAAAATACGTAACTTTTTTCAACATTGTCACCGTTTAACTCAATACATTTCTTATGTCGTTTTAACCAGTCATAAAATGTGCAAAAAATGTTCAGGTTTCATTCTTTAAATAATATTTTACAATGCCTGTTTCATATCCCGCAATCATCCAACCTCTGTCCGAGCAAAGACAATTTTATTTACGGAAATATGGCAAAGTCATGATCACGTTACGAAATTCATTTTTTACAGCACTGCAATTTCGGAATGATGGTTTTCCTTCACGCATGTCATCCTGTAAAATGTTTACGTCGTCCGAAAATATTATATGCCACTTAAATACTAGTGAACAACTTCTTTTACTATGTTTACCCTATTGTTTACAGAATGCATTGGTCTTTGTAGGCGTTTTTCCGATGTCTACGCAGAATTTTATAACTGTTCACTGCTCCACCTATTCCGAAAACGTATCTTTTTTGAACAATTCCGATCCTGTCTAAAAATGTTCTAACTTTGATTGCTCAGCCATTTTGAAACTGAACAATTTTGCATGTTTGATGTGATAACTTCCGTCAACCTCATAATGTAAAATTCTCTCCAGATTTTCCTAAAATTTTATAAAATACAAATGAAATTCATAAGATGATAAATAATATTTTTAATTAAAATTTTAGCTGTCGGATCTCCATACCAAGTCTAATTGTGAAACCATTATTGAATTAAAATATTGAAAAATGAAATCTTACAATTTTCAATTCACATCTAGTAAAGGATTAGAAATATGCCAATAATGAATATCAATGACACAACTTTTATTAAATTTTTAGCTTGCCCACGAACTTATGGACAACATTTACAAATATAAACAATTAAGAAACAAAAGCTAGTTTTTCTTTCATCATTTATTCCCAATCTTGCTGACTAGACAATTTTTGAAGGATTTCTATTTGATTCAATTCATATTTCTGTGCAAAAAACAAAGTGGTAACTCAATACTAGAAAAAATTATCAATAAAAAAGGCGTAAAATAAGAGCACTTAATTAGAAAACAATGATGAAAATTAAGTAGTCAGTTACTCCAATACAGGCATTAAGGCAAGCATATAAAAGTATACAAATAACAAAAACTGTCATTACATATCCATAAATACATGTGATATTCATATAATGAGTTACGGGAGATTGATATTTGGTATTGATTTGGCAGTGGCTGAAATGAAACATGCATTTTTACTGAACACTATAGTTACATAAACTCTAGTAAATACACTTACTAAGTACAACCAACAACATGAAACATAAAGGCTATTCAATCAATCTCTAGTCAATTTCTAGGCAATTTCAAATCAATAACATAATTTTGTATGATTTATTTGTGCATTTAAATTAAAAAGTTTATTTCATAACTCTTGATTTGATCAAGAAATATGGTATACTGTTCAGTTTTTTACAATCCATGTAAAATGAAAAACATCATGAGAAAGTAGAAAATTAAAATGGAGGCCCCTGTTGAAATGTTATTGGGCAATTTTTACCTATTAATACTGGTGCAATTACCTTAAACATAATTGGTCCCTTCTAAGGGAAAATGAGGAATAAATAAAATCAAGATGGAGATTCAAAAATAAACAAAAGAAACTGCTTTTAAGTGGAGAAAATTTAAATTGATGCAGAACTGCACAACACCAGGATGGTTTAGGCATGTAGTATCAAGTTCCATTCCTTCCCCTTCTTGCCGAGCGTCGACATCTGAGCTTGGTGCTGAGCTTTACGCTGCTGAAATGCTGCCATTTCACTCTCATAACGCGTCTTGTTGTCCTCAATTTTCTTTTTCTCATCAGCGTGTTTTTTCTTCAATGCATCAAATCTGTCATGTAACTGCAAAACATAAAACCAATAAAATAAAACTTATTCAAAATTAATCTACCTTTCAAAAATAACAATTTTGCATTAGACTCAAAAATTTTACCAAAAAAAAAAAAAAATTAAATAAGATTTATAAAGCAGCAACATATAAATATATGCTCTGCTTTGAGTATTCTCCTTTCATTTTCTTTGTTTTAAAATAAATACATGCCTAATTCACTATTTCTTTAAGTTCAAAATACGATAAAGGCCCCTTTCTCCATTTCTTTTAATTAAATATACAATACAGACCTCTTTCTCTGTTTCTTTAAGTTGGGCTTCCTTCTCTTTGACTCGTATGACAAATGTCTGCCTCATTTCATCCTCCTTCCTCTGTAAATCTGCCAAGTGTTGCTGTCTCTTCAACTCATACGTCTCTGATAAACTATAAATAAAGGACAGTAATTATTGAAAATCCCCCCTTTTTGGTAAAAACACACTTATCCCAAAACAGATGTAAGTAGAGTATAGCACAACATTATAATTAGAAGTTTGTTTTCTATTCCAACCCTGAAATACATGTACATTTAATAATGAACCCATACTTGTATCCATGCTTTAATATGAAATTTTAATATCCTTGCCAACCTTTTGGATTCGTTCTCTGAGAATCCCATTTCCTGCAGTTTGTTCTTGCGGAAGAGTTCATAGTGTTTGCTGTGTGTGGTTTCTCTCATGTCCTCCATGTTAGTGCGGATCAACATCTCCCTCAGCTTTACAAAGTCACAGTGGTTTTCATTCTCAACTGAAAAGTAAATTACTTCATTTTATTTGAAAGATAAACTTATACATGTAGTTCTATAAATTGTCTCCAGATTGCCATAAATATACATATTTTTTTAAACCTTATGAAACTATTTCCATGAAGAATTTTCAGACTGCTACAATCCATAGAAGTATGCATTTCCAGTTTGAATCGATAGTTTGAAAGTTTAAACCATCCTTTAACATAGAATCAATCTTGGAAAAAGTTCTGAAACTTGTCTTCATCACTTATTTTTTAGCAAAGTTGGATAACTCTGATTTAACAAAATCAAAACCCTATAAGACAAGAGGCCCATGGGCCACATCGCTCACCTGAGAGGCGTTGACCATTCTGTTCTTTACCAGATTTCCCCCTTGTTATACTTAAGATCCCACCCTACCCACTGATCATAATTAAGACATTTTGAAATCTACACTACCCCATGATCCTTCCATGGGCACATATGTTTCAGCTTTTTTGGCCCAGTGGTTCCTGAGAAGAAGATTTTTCCTATATATTTCTATCTAAAACTTTGATTCTTATGGCCCTCCCTTCCCCAGGGGGATTTTATAGAATTTACACTACCCAGAATGCTTCCACATAAGTTTCAGCTTTTTGGCCCAGTGGTTCTTGAGAAGAAGATTTTCAAAGATTTTTCCTATATATTTCTATGTAAAACTTTGATACCCAATTGTGGCCGCGCCCTTCCCCCAGGAGTCATTATTTGAACAATTTAGAATCTACACTATACCAGGATGCTTCCACATAAGTTTCAGCTTTTCTGGCCCAGTGGTTCTTGAGAAGAAGATTTTCAAAGATTTTTCCTATATATTTCTATCTAAAACTTTGATTCCCATTGTGGCCCCGCCCTTCCCCCGGGGGTCATTATTTGAACAATTTAGAATCTACACTATACCAGGATGCTTCCACATAAGTTTCAGCTATTCTGGCCCAGTGGTTCTTGAGAAGAAGATTTTCCAAGATTGTTCATATATATTTCTATGTAAAACTTTGATTCCCCATTGTGGCCCTGCCCTTCCCCTGGGGGTCATGATGTGAACAATTTAGAATCTACACTATACCAGGATGCTTCCACATAAGTTTCAGCTTTTCTGGCCCAGTGTTTTGAGAAGAAGATTTTCAAAGTTTTTCCTATATATTTCTGTATAAAACTTTGATTCCCCATTGTGGCCCCGCCCTTCCCCCGGGGGTCATGATTTGAACAATTTAGAATCTACACTACCCCAAGATGCTTCCACATAAGATTCAGCTTTACTGCCCATGGTTCTTAAGAAGAAAATTTAAGACCCAACCCTATTTTTGCCTTTTCTTGATTATCTCCCCTTGCGAGGGGATATGTCCCTTCATTTTAACAATTTAAATTCCCTTCACCCAAGGATGCTTTGTACCAAGTTTGGTCAAATTGGCCCAGGGGTTTACTTAGAAGAAGTCGAAAATGTAAAAAAGTTTACAGCATAGACAACGGACAGAACAGACCAGGCACGGATACAGACGGACGGACGACGGACAAAATGTGATAAAAGCTCCACTCAGCCTTCGGCTCAAGGTGAGCTAAAAAACAATATATAACATCTACTTGAACCAATTATTTTCATTCTTTGGAGTTTTCCATGAGTTAAAATTACAATTACCTTGAACTGTTCCCCATGGGTACTGCCTGGCCTTGACCATCTTGTTACCTATTTTGACCTCATCACTGCTTCCTACCACAGCAAATGGGACATGACCCTAAAAAACATACCCAATGCTTTTGATTTAGACAGTCTATGCTCTCGTATTTCAGGAATAAACATTTAACATAGTAAATTATAGAGTAAAAATTTTCTTTATTTCCTTACATTCATGACTTTGTTTGCCTCTGCTACTGTCTCATCATCTACAGGGAAGCTGTATATCTGGACACCATTAGAACTCAGCTCATTCATGATCTGAACAAAAAAAATTTATCTTAATTACTCTTCATTGCATATATATTTCACTAGGACTGAAACTCTGGATAATTTTAAAGAAAAAGAATGATTCAATGTTTATGTACATGTGTGTGTGTGTGTTTTTTATTAAAGTGATTCCTAAAATACCCTTTGTCAAGAAATGACAGAATATATCAATTTTAAAATTAATTTTCAACTACTGTGTCAGAATGAAGCTAAGTCAACGACTTTTTTCTTCAATGAGTGTGATTCAAGGTCTTTTTTTTGTTTGGAATTTCCTTAAATATCTAATACTTCCATCTTTTTAAGTTTTCTTTCTTCTTTCTTTTTTGCTTGTTTACAATGAACAGCCATTAACCATGAAATGACCAGTATGTTAGAAACAAAGTAGTTAGCAATCAAGGAACAGAACAAATATTGTTAACTTCCTTCTCATTCTTCAGAAATTACAAAGACCCTTTAAAATTTCCCTATAAATTAAAGAGTTCCCCTTCCTAAAATTTTTTTTTTTAAATTTTATTTGAA